CATGTGGTTCTCACCTCTTCAGGGTCACTATTGGCAGCCATCATACATTCACGGAAACCATCAAGTGCCTCCTGGCAGTTGGGATCAAGGTCGATTGCCTTTTGGTAGGAATCTTGTGCCTTGGTAAACTGCTTCAAGACCTGGTGGATTTTCCCCTTGCGAATATGGCCTTTAACTGTAAGCAGAAAAAAGTGATTTTTGGGGTGTTTTACTTACTGTTATTACAATTTTCTTATTTTCCCCTTTTTTTCATTTAGTTTGTAGATTCTAATGCATTATTCCATTCAAATTAAAAACCATGTTCGGCATGCGTAACTTCTGACTGAATTATCAAGTCTTATTATCTATAATGAAATTTGATAATTTCTAATACCCTTACAATGACACAAGCAAAGTTAAAGGACACGAGACATGAGAAATAAAAGAGAGAGGGTAGAGAGAGAGAGGGAGAGAGGGTAGAGAGAGAAAGAGAGGGTAGAGAGAGAGAGAGGGGGGGAGAGAGAGAGGGGGGTAGAGAGAGAGAGAGAGAGGGGGGTAGAGAGAGAGAGACAGGGGGTAGAGAGAGAGAGAGAGAGAGAGAGAGAGAGAGAGAGAGAGAGAGAGAGAGAGAGAGAGAGAGAGAGAGAGAGAGAGAGAGAGAGAGAGAGAGAGAGACACACATTAAAAATCTACACCTACTTCTCTATCTACATGTCTATAATACACAGAAAAATAAACAGCCCAACTCCTACCAAAATTGGGATCCAGCCTTATGCACTCTTCGCAGTCCTTGAGGCCCAGGTTGAACTCAGCCAGCTTGGTGTAGCAGGCAGCACGGTTGCTGTAAATCTTCGGGTCGTCAGGGTTTCGTCGGATAGCCTCGGTGTAGTGCTTGATGGCAGAAGGATAGTCTCCCTTCTTGAAGCAGCTGTTGCCCTTCTCCTTCTCCTCCTCTGCCTTGCCTGGGTCAATGTAAGCCAGCCGCTCCTGCTCCTTCATTAGCCTCTCCAGCTGTTGACACAAGTCAGTGGTTATGAAGGTAATGAGAGAGAAGCAAGATTTTGAAAATCACTGACACAGTTACACTACCATGGCTGTGTTTGTGTTTTAATTTTATACGTCATCAGCATCAAAACAAAAAGTTGTCTCACATCTCCAGTATCAGTATCAAGGTAATGATTTCACACATTTTAGGTTGATTTTTTTCAGTAACCAATTGATGATTCAGTCACATGTGAAGTATAAAACAAAAATGTTGACTGATCATACATATATTAACTATATGCAAACCATAAAATACATATAACTATATCAACACAGCTTTCCCTTCCTAAGGTTCACTCATACTATGTATATATCATCCTTTTACATAATGTAAGCAATATATATATAAATAGAATACCCATTGTAATTAATGGAATAAAGTGTTTTGAACTAGAATTTTGAATTTGAATCATACAATTTTCATTTACATATACATCAATGGCATCCATCATCCACTATCATATATGGCTCCTAATCTTTGAGCAAAATGTGACCTTTGGACCAGTAGAAAGTATTTGCATTAAAGCCTATTTCATAGAATGCAATAAAATGTATGCAGGGGCCACTTTATATATAACACAAGTGTGCATTTATATGACTGAAAATATTGTAGTTGACTGATGAACACAACAGAAAAAAAAAAAATCTGTAAAATAAACAAGGTATCAATACAAGAGAAAAAAAAAAACATTTAAAAAACTAACCTTGCTTAGAATTTCCTTTGTTTCTGGAGTCCTATGTTCAGACAGGGATTTTTCATAAAAGGTTTTGGCCTTGGGATAATCCTGCAAGAACAAAAACATACTCAACTCTTGCAGGTTTCAGCTTTTTTGCCAAAACTGTCAGAATCACATGCACCTCTTATTCACTTGTTCTACTTGGATCTATTTAATAAAGATCAAATATAAGGGTCATAGATTATTGATAAATATAAAAGAATCTGAAATTGCTTTACCAAATAGATCAAAATATATACAATTAACGTTTTGAACATTGTCAAAATCTGCACATTTGATAACCAAATAAAGCTGTTTCAAATATGATCTGATTCTTAAAGGCTTTGATAACCGAGTGTAAACAAAGTACATCTATTATTCTAAAATTGTTAACAAATTGATAAATACAGAAAATGCAGAGCTTAGGACTCCTGATTGCTTATAACAAACATACACCAACACATACATGTGTTTGTATGTCTGTATAAAAAACATATTTATGTACAAATATATGGCAAATGCTACAAAACTAATTCCAAACATTTTTAAGATAACAATTACCAAACTAAAATAGGCTGCTATGAAGTATATTTAGAAAATTTATCTTGTATAAATATGAACCGTTAAAGAAGCCAGACAAAAAGACTATCAAGTTTCAAGACACTGTGACAACATAAGTCTTCCCTAGCTGATGATGCATAGAACAAGCAAATAAAAATAATCTTATATAGGCCTAGTTAGAAAAAAAGGAAAGAAGGAGA